GGAGAGAGAGAGAGAAAGTGATTGAGAAATGAGAAAGAGGAATGAAAATAGCATAGAGATAAAGAGAAACATATGGTTGTTGACCGCAGCTTGTTCATTCTTCATTTAAATAAGAAAGCTGATAATAAAATTTCAACTTATTATAGTTATGTTGATTGTGTAATGGTTGTTGATGCTTGTACTTGGCATCTTAGACTTGACTACATAAGAAAAGATAAAATAAATAGATTAATAAAGAAATATCTTATTCCAAATATAAACGATGTCGAATTTCCAACCTATCAGCTCTGCTTATCGGAAAAAATGGCTAAAAAATCATTCAATAAAGGGGAGAGAGCTAATGAGTTATTGAATATAGTCCACTCAGACATTTATGGGCCCTTCAACGTTAAAACTCATAGAAGGATGTCATACTTCATCACTTTTATTGATGATTTTTCTAGATTTGGATATGTTTATCTAATCCACTATAAATCAGAAGCTTTAGAAAATTTAAAATATATAAAAAAGAAGTAGAAAATCAATTGAGTATAAACATCAAAGTTCTTAAAACTAACAGGGGAGGTGAGTACACATCTGAAACTTTCAATACTTATTTCCAAGAATATGGTATTAAAAGACATATCACTATACCTTATACGCCACAACAAAATGGAATAGCTGTAAGACGTAAGAGAACCCTCTTAGAAATGACTAGATCCATGATGACTCATGTTAATCTGCCTAAGACCTTTTGGAGAGAAGGAATAAACACATCTAGACTTAAGTGGTCAAAAGAGGTCTAGAGCTCCTCCATCATACCTTGATGATTTCTATGTCTGTATGAGTGGGAAATCATAGATTTGAGCGCATATCCAAGACAAAGGAGGCTAGATTTGAAGCAAAAACCTCAGATCTAAGACAAAAAGAGATGCTTGATCAAGGCCAAGAGAAGAGGACAAGGAATAAAATTGAGATGGGAGGCTTGGGTTTCACTGGAAAAAGGAAGAACAGGAGGTGATGGTGTGCTTGCTGGATGGACTCGGATGAATTATTCAGACTTGTCTTGTGGGTGACGCCAAGTAGCCCCAAGATGTATGTACTATTTAGGGTACATAAAAAATTTAAACAAATTTGGTGAGTACTTTTTGCCGTGATCTCCTTTTTATATATTTTTAAATTTTTTAAAAACTTATTTGGATTTTTTAAGGTTGATTATTTTACTTTTATTATATTTATTTTATTTTTTATTTTTCTAGGGCACTTTTGCCTTGTGCATGACTTGACGAGTCACTTTGACTCCCCAAGTAACTCACCTTGGCCAAAGGCTGAGTAACTTGGCTGAGGTGAGTCCCATAACATTCAATTGATGTAAACTCCCATACAACTATCCCTCTAACCTAAATCACATGTAAAGGAGATGGAGAAATACATCTCATTGCAAATAAAACACTTTCATATGAATAGAAAATTAAAGTCACCATGAGGATATTGCTTGTAAGTGATAATATTTTTATTTATAACATTCTCCCTTTCTCATTTTTTTCTACATTTATCACTATATCATATAAGATAACTTAAGGTAGCTCCAATAGGAGATAAAATGAGGGAATGTAGAATTGGGTGGTCTGGTTATATACAACATCAACCTAGAACAACAATAGTTAGGAGATTGAGTTCAAGTGGAAAACTCTAATAGAATATGGATAGAAGTAATGAGAAAAGATATGGTGATTTATAGTCTGACTAAAGGTATGACCCTTGATAGAGTAGAATTATATAACTGATTTGTATAGCCAAACTCAAGTAGTTGAGATAAGGCTCGGGATGATGATGATTTACTACTACATATCAATACTTCGGTATGGGAATGATAATCGAGCATATAACAATAATAACTTATATATGTCTTTATTTTTGTAAAACTTGATTTTTCATGAGTAGAAGTCTCCTTCCCATCTCACCCTTCAAAATGCAATAGGTATGACAATAAACGGATGTATTGTCCATTAACAAGATATAAACATCCCCCACATAGAGACAACCATATATTTCTCCTGCAAAAATTGAGAAAATATCATTAAACAAAAAATTCTACCAATAAAAATATTTCCCCTCTAGTTTCAAGAAAGAAAATTATTTCTGGAGTTTATTTGAAACTTAAAAATCAAAATTTTAGGTAATTGTAGACAAGGTTAGGGACAAAGATACTTTAAAAAGCTTATAGAAATTTTGATTCATAAAAATATATAGAAATATATTTTATTTTCCTTAAAACATTTTCCAAGTCTTCAACACTTCTTTCTATTATATGTATTCCATTATATTTAGATCTTTTGAGAAAAAATGAAATTAAAAAAAGAACCTAACTAAACTCTTGTTCCTTGGAAGGAGAGATGGCTAAGCTTGCATAGCTCAATGAGAACATGCTTGTTATTGCAAACTTATGGTTGTGGGAATATAGCTCAATTGCCTAACAAGAAAAAAAGGGAAATTTGTTGCTATAGACCTAATATGAGGCCAAGTACTTCACATTGTGTGTGCTACTTATATCATTTTGCATGTGAGTTGTGCTCCTTGTGTTGATAAAAAAGACTCAAGTACAATTGTAGCTTTATTTTGCTTTCAGTTAGGCTACCTCAAGTATTTTCCTAATTTAAGCTTATCAAGAATATGGGGAGGTACACCTACACTCCACCAAATTCATCAAAACAATAGCAGCAATAGTATCTTCCTATCTACCTTCTCCACTACCTTGAAAATGTTTTTTTGTTTTCGGGTAGATCAATAGGGAATATAGGCCCCTACCTGTTTTGGAATTGACCAAAAAGTGTCAATGTTTTTAAAGTGTTAGTGAAAATGGAGGTCATGATGTTTAACTAGGGCTCAGGTGGAATTGCCACTAGAAACCAACCCCATTCTCAATAATTTAAGTGTTTTGTTGACTGCTAATTAATTTTTAAGAAATTGTAGCAATTCCCATGGTTGAACCTTAACTAACTAGTTATTACGGTATTAGTTCTTGGTCTTTAGTTTATTCTTGGTGTCTCTCGTCAAATTTGGTGAGAAAGAGGTTACCTTTATTTTATTTTCACTACTTTGGTGGTAGGATTTGAATTTGGTACATAGTATAGCAATTGTTAATACCTTAATGAGCTAAAGATTATTTAAGCCAAATCCTCAAAAGCATATGGGTAGGTCGGCTTTGTTGGGTTTTGGACAAATTTTGTGGCTTTGAATCCTTGACCTGCCTCACAAAAACTAGGTCCGCGAGCGGTTAGCTCCCTGGTTCGAGTTATGTTCCTAACCAGTCAGACATAGAGATGCAAAGTTCAACATATGTAAACAGGAAATGCCACCATAGTACATGTACTATTCTGTTTCCATATTACATGTAGTCCTTCATTGATAACAAACCTTGGAGATGAGCTCACCGTCCCTTCAACAAACGAAACATCTCATTGGTAGTATTGAGGTAGATAGTGAAAATATGTGGCACACAAACGGTAAAGTCCATGTACTATTGGAACCTTAAATGAGATATACAATCGTGATTATCTACAAAGAACCATTTATCTTTTGTACATTAAAGTCATAATCATTTTCGTCTCTTAAATTTCAAAATGGGTAATTTTAATATTGTCATTGATAGATACACAGTTCCAAAAAAAAATTCTCGGATTTCGTAACTCACCCCAAAGCATCCAATTGACATCTAATGAGTGAATAATTGTGACCCCCATGTCCAAAAGATAAATGATCTATTTATAGACAATCCCAATCACTTAATAATGAAATTATGTGCTTCTTTTTAAAGTTTTCAAACTGCCCCTTATGTTCAAAACTCAAACTTGGTGGTTTTCATTTTTATTTTACTTTCTCTCTTTCAAAGAGGAAAAAAGAAAAAAAATATAATTGACACCATGGTGCATTGTAGTTTACAAATAATATATTAAACACCATCTTAACCATCAATCGTCAATAACGGACGATATGAACTCTTCCTCCACTCAATGACCGATTTGGTAGATAAACATTTATCTTCCATTTGTTAATTTACAGTATGTAAACTTCAATGCACCACAGTTCTCATTGTCTCTCTCTCTCTCTCATGTTCTTGATGCATACATTTTTTTGAGTCGAGAACTTGATTTACACAAGGGAGGCTCCAACATTCGACCTGTGTCCTTGCAATTGGAGTGTTTCATCACTGAAGCAACCGGCTTCTTAACTTCTTCTATGTCTCACTCATCAGACGCTCATCTACTCTTGTACTTATGGGATGTTTTCTCTTTTCGTATTCTGTTCTCGTCACAGATACTTAAGAAATTTTTACAATGGGGATTATATACTATGAAACCATTTATTTTTGATACAAGGAGTTCACAATTACTTATACAAACCATTTATCTTTGGCACAAGGAGTTCACAATTACTTATAGCCATCCGATTTGTAATCTGATAGCTTGGATGTGTCACAAAGTTCTAGAAAGTATCTTTTGAACTTTAAGCTTGTTCCATGGAATAAATGCATCCACCCAATTTTATATCCAATGGCCAAGTTTAATTGTGACCACCTGTACCAAAGGTAAATGGTCTCATTTTATATTTTCCCTTTATAGTAACCTTGTAATTATTTAAAGTATGTTAGATCCAGAAAATGCAGTGTATAGTGCATTTGGTGTAACATTTTGTGCACCCTCTAGAAAAAACAATTGATGCTTATTGTGTAGCACAACCAATAATACTTTTTCCTTTGTCTTAATTTTCCTACTTGACTGTCCATCCCTTGTATATGTAGGGCCAATCCTGCTCTCATAACTATTTATATCTTTGATGGTTCCCATCATTTGATCCCACTCATGTGCTTTTTCAACTACAATGAACAAAGTATTTGTGTTACTATCCCTTGAGTAGCAAGGCACAAAATGTAAAAATTCTTTTTTGAAATAATGGTAGTATTATTAGTAGTTAGGTAGCACCATTTGTAGCAGAACTGGAAGTAGCAGTAGTAGCTGTAGTAGCACTTATATTCAAGAGGAAATGAACAAACAGATTCAAAAGTCAGAGGAAACATACTAATAAACCAGACATTTATATGCAGGATAGGAAATACATTGAAATGGACTATGTTTCCTTGTGGTGCTCCATGGCTATTCACACATGGAGAAGCTAGAACATGATTTTGTGCATTCTTCTATTTACATGAGCTCCATCCAATTTATTTACCACAAGGCATCTTCCAACTACAAATGAACCCCATGGGTTGTGTGCTTGCTTAAGTGCAAAGCACTCTTCTAGCATGTGCACTGCTCATACTAATAATAGTGTTCTTTTGATAAATCCTTTAGGCGAATGCATCAGTGGGGCCCTCTTTTTACTCTCTCTAATGGCGAGGAGTCTCAGATGCTCTTAGTACTGTCTAGCCTGACTGATCTAAAACTTGGGGTAGCGCATTGCAGAGCAAGCATGTTTCTCTAACATGCTCATGGCTGATAACACGTCTCTCGCTCTGTCAGTGACACGTACTCTCTCTTAGAGGGCTAAAAACTCCCTCAACCTAGCTTAGCATCTCAAGGAAGAGATTAGGGCCAAGAAGTGCTCCTCTTTGCATGGTATAGTGATGCCCATATCATGTTCAAAGCCAAATTCCTCCTCTGCTCTTTGAAGCAAGCTTTGAAAGAGTGAAGTTTTTAAGTACGAGGTCGGTATGACAAAACGCCTTCTATTCTCACCTACATAAACTGCAAAGTGACCCTTTGGAACATCAGGAGCTGCTTGTGCAGTACTAAACCAATTCACAATTTGCTTCTTTACTGTTGCAAACTCACCCTTCTTCATACCCATCTTTCCTCGAGTTATATTCCGGAAAGAAAAGAGAAATCTCAAAGCTACAGTGAGAAACAGAGGACTGAGGTTTGAATTTTGGTTGAGAGAAACACTTGAGTGACGGCATACTTATACTGAAAAGGGCAGGTGGAAGTTCCCTTATGACATATTTTGATCCCATCTCTTGGAGAGAGAGGGGCATAACCACATGGGCTTCTTGTTTGGACATTGTCCTATGGTTTTTCTTGCACAAGACAGGATCACATGGAGAGTTAGGAGTTTGGTTCCATGCTCCACTTATGCAAAAGACCCACGGCAATTGAATGGTGGATGTGGAGTTTTCCTGTTTTCACCACGGTGCACATGCGAATGGTATAAAAGTGCTTCATGAATGACATGCACTTGGCTGTTCAGTCACTGTCACATGGTTTTTTTGGCTCGTCGGCTGCTAGTGAACAACCATTCGATGGACCCTACCTCATGTGCATCATTTTCCTGCATATCCACGACCTCATCATTACATTATAAATAAGCATGTGGTAAATGAGCTTTCATGAAGTTATGGGCCATCATCTCTTCTAAGGATATAACCTGCAGTGAGTTATGGTGACAATATTTAGTCCTATCTATGAAACTCAAAGGAATAGTGTTTGGCAGACAGCGCTAAAAATGGAGAAAAATCCTTCTTGAAAGATGAGTTGGCTGGATGGTGCATTTACAAAATAATATAAATTTGGATTAGTATCAATAACAATATTCAAAACCAAATATTAACTTGGAATTAATACTCTAGACTTTGCATTGATTCATGATCAAGTTCACTAATAAAACAATTAGGTGAATAACTAAAAGCACAGTGATGGCTCAATCAAATTATGTGGTCTCAGATTGCTGTCGATCCCCAGACCAGAAATAATCACATGGAGCCAATCAAATTATGTGGTCTCAGATTGCTGTCGATCCCCAGACCAGAAATCATCACATGGAGCTCTGTAGACCAGAAATAATCAAGATTAACAAAACTTCTATTCATGTAGTTTGCTTCCCTCTTCACGTTGCTGTTTTTCTATTCCAAAAGTAGATACTCAAGGTCCCTTAATTCAGACAAATACAGGGTACCTATGAGTCACTTTCTTAATGTCCCACCATACTACGATAGTGGTCCTTATAGATGGGGATCCCGCATTGTTGCAAATAATGAGGCCTTAGTACAAGCTGGGCAAAGGATGGAAGGTGAGTTAACTCTCAATGTATCTACCTTTTCCGACATCACAAGCAATGATGGCATTTCCACAATCCAAAGAGGAATTGAACAGTTGTAAGGATCCTCATTTTGGAGTTTCACGTGCTTTTGGAGTCACCGTGTCTATTTTACAGCTTCACATGCTGTTAGAGCCACAATCCATTGTTTAGGGTTATCGACAATCTTAAGTACTCTGATTTGTTTCCAATCTTTGTTAGAGCCATCAAGGCATTTACAAATTTACATAGGATTATGCATAAAATTAGAAAAGTTAAGTGTGGATTTCACATGTTTTCAGAGAATAGAAATGAATTTGTAGGTTTCTTCAAGTGTTCTCATGTAATTCCTTCAATGTCTGGATGTTGAGAAAAATATCAGATAAATTTTTTGATGTGCTTTATGGTCCCCTTCCAATGGAACTCAGGTACATAGTTCATCATCATTATAATCATCATCCGAGCCTTATTTTACTATTTGGGATCGGCTATAAGAATCATGTTCCACCATTCTGATCTATTAAGGGCCATACCTTCAGTAAAAAGCATACAGAAAATGCCCTAGCATGAGCATATAATATAGTTTTAGGATTCATAAAAAGATTGGACAAAGTTTTATGTTGGATGCCTACCTAATACAACCCTCCTCTACCCAGGCTTGGAACTGGCATAACGTGCTTGGGGCCGGCCAAGGTGGAGTTAGCTTAATTATATAGTTAAGGAGGCAAATTAGATGGCTAAATATGTTCATATTATAGTCTTCTCTTGTCTAACTGTTTTCGCTGAACTAGGCATCATTAATACCACCACTTATTGAAAATTGCAAACAAATGATCATTCTACAAGCATCCCTACCCATAAACTACTTTTATGGTAGATTAAACCAAAGAGATAGGGGGTTATGCTATCGCATCTAACAAGCTGTAGATGCCACCTGGTTACCTCAGAACTGTGCTCAAATTTAGCCATGGAAGCTTTCCTTCCATATTATGTTGGACTACCAACAAGAAAAATATCATAAAATATGCAAAAGGTCAAGTATTTTTCCTTTTATTTTGGAAAAGGGATTAATAATTCCTAGATTAGGGAAAGGTTACAAATTTAGGAAACCTAAACAAAATAAGACACCCCAATAGCCAATATATAATCTGAACCATTCCCATAAGACAAAAAAAATTTCATAGAAATCAAGAGACTTCCATAGGTAGCTCAACTATTGATGAATTGGAATATACTTGCAACATCTGGTGTAGCCTTGACCCCTTGTAGAATCACATACATAATATCCACTGGCTCCATGAAATGTTAAAAAAATTCCCTGAAAGAAAAAGTTGTTTAGGTGTCAATGTCATTTATGTAGGGATCTCGTGAACCCCTTAGCTTGTGGAACGAGGAATCCCAAATTCTAGGATTCCACCCAAGATCGTGTACATGATTGACTAAATGCAAAGTAAATAAATACAACTATAAATCAAGTGCGAGACATAAAGCAAACATAAAAACAACACATGATTTACATAGTTCACCCCGTAGGGTAACATTCATGGCCACAACAACTAGAAATCCATTATCACATTGAAGATTACAGTTTTGGGTTACAAGAGATAATACCTATCTCTAAACTTCGGTAAAAGACCATTGCTGATCTTCTCTTTTAAACCCACTCTCTAAACCGAGTAACACCGTAGATCAACATCATCTTTGCCACCACTACCGGAAAGATAACTTTAAGAGCAACCGAGAGACTTTCTCTCTCCAGAAGTGAAAGTTAACCAACCCAAAATTCATAAGAATACTGCCTCTCTCGTGGAGGTGGCCATGTCTCTCTCTCTTGGAGATCCATTTCTATATTGGAGATCTATTCCCATACTCCCCAAAGGGGTGACCCTCAAAAGATGGGTATTATGTCCTCCTTCACTCTCTTATAAAGATATCACTTTCTTGCTTCTCAAGAAAGTCAATTTTTTATTTTTCATAATACCCTAATCTTTAGAATAAAATATGGGTATGGTGATTTAGTTATTATCAAACCATTATTCACAAAATCGAACCGGAACGGTTAACCAGACATGGGTTTGAAAGCGGTTTAACCGGCCTAACTGGTAAACCAGCCGATTCAACTGCTTTAACCGGGCAAGTCTTGGGTGATAAAAAAAGTGTTAAAAAAAATACAAAAAATACAAAAACAAATCTACGAAAATATAAAAACTATATAAAGAATGATTCAAGCAAAACACATTCAAGTGAAGTTGAAAATTAATGAAAAAAAAGGATTTTAGCCCATTTTATATTTTCCATGGGCTATTTTTAAAACTTTCTAAAAAAGATGGGAAAATATAATAGTGAATTAATGACCAACACAATTTTTAATCTTTACCATACTATAAAAAATATTTAAAAATGCATCACAAATCAAATTCCTTATTTTTGAGAATTTATATATATTTTTTTGAAATTCTTTTTAAAAATACCGGTTGATCACCTTAACTACCCAAAACAGGAGCCGGTCACTGGCCGTTTCCGATTTAACTGAGAGATTAGCAGTTAGATCGGGCGATTTTGTGAACAATGCACCAAACCCAACAATCTATTCAGTTCAAAACTATTAAGATATGGATATCTCAGATTCATATTGACATACATCATTATGGATGTATGGATATATATTTCTTGATAAGGTTAGGTATCTAGAAGATAGAGATCCAGTTACTTGGTCATCAAGTTATCATACCATAGTTATCTCATGTAATTGTGTGATTGTCCTTTATATATAGAGGAACTTATTAATGTAAATATTTATTCAAAATAGCGAAGATGTAGCCTGTTGGGCTTTGGATTCATGGATATAAGGCTTCGGCCTGAATCACGTAAATGTTATGTTCTCTCTTCTTCTCTCTCCATTCTTCATTGTATGCTCCCTTGAATTTGAACATGGTATCAGCACATTCTTCTTGTTGACTTTGTGCCTTCGTCTTCTGCTCATGTGCCTGTGAGTGTGCCTCCTGCACCTGTCCCATCCCGGTTAGTTCATTTGTGCCTGCCACGAGAGCACCGATCACCCTACTAAAAAAAACCCCTTGCTCAATCTCATCTCGCTATGAGTCAAGGCAACCAGTCTGCTTTTCAATGGGCATACACATTCCAAGTTACAAAAGTGCAGAGAGGGAGATATAATTGGGTTGCTCTTTTATGAGAGAGAGAGTGTGGCTTGCACATGGAGAGAGAGATTTGTTTGGTTCATGTTGTGGGCTTCCAAATTCTCTGGTTTTTTCCTCGCATATATAATATCTCTGGTATCTTTTCGTATAAATTTGTTGAAACCGATGGCATTTTGGTCGCTTTCCGTATTTATCTATATTTGGAGAAAGAGCTCCACACTCTGCTTTCTCGCTTTATCGATCAATATATGTGCGCCATGGTATCGTTGGAAAAGTATTCGAAAACGAGAAAAACCCTCAGGGGAACAAGATCCATGGGCTTGAAGATTTGCATAAGTTTAGAGTTGTAGAGCTCAGGCGAGAGGCTGAGCGTTGCGATGTCTCCATGCGCATACTTGTCCTAAGCTCGGTGAGTTTGCAAGGAAGAGGCTTCGGAAAAATTTCCCAGCAAGCAGCGGCGAAGAGCTATGTAAGGATGAGATTTTCCCGGCAAATAAAGTTGCCGAAAAGTTGCTGCCTTTGTGTCGGTCTTTGAAGAATATATGATGTTCTGCACCATGTGCGCAGCGCAAAGTCCTGTCTTCCCCTTTGCAAACCTATCGCATCCTCCTTGTTGATCTTGGGAATAGGTCCCCCCAAGATCGCTTGCCATCACCATGGGCCTTGCAAAAGTTGGTGCTGCCCTGTGCGCTTTTCCCATAGCCATCGTACTTTTAGTGATATCTTTGAATGGAGAGAGAAACAACTTCTTTCATGCTTTATGTCATGACTCATGAGCTTATCCATTTCCATTTGTGGTGTGTTTTTTA